CAGCCAAAAGACAGCAACCAAAACCGGAGCACGAAAGTGCATGGTTAATGGTTGTTCAAACTGAAAACAGACTGAAAACTGGAACTCAGTAGCCTGGCTTGAAACCACCTTTCCTGGTAAAACCTTTCTCATTTCTCCTGTTTAAGTCCCTTGTCTTGCGTTTCCGGTTTCCGTAACCGAGATATGGGTCTTTGTTGCAACGTTCATTCCTTCCATTTTTAATCATAATAACTTGTATAACAATAGGTAAGTAAAAATGGTCCGAAATCTGATTAGAAAAATCATATGACTTTTGTGACAACTAATGATATTATTTCGAAATAACTACCTTTTTCAACTCATGAGTTTCATCAGAAACTATTTAGGTTATGAGTCGTCATTACACTTAGGGTCGTATTTTAGCTTTCATCTTGTGTTAGTCCTGATAGAATGCAGATTATCCGAAATAAAATTATGGATCTAAACTCAGACTACCGTGTCAGATTTCCAATTTGAGTTACCCGATAATTCGAACAGACACTACGACCATTCAAGCATTGGGAGTTGGAGTGATGAATAACATCAGATTCCGCGGAAATTCGCTTATTATCGGGCCCAATGACCTCATAGCCGTCCGCAACCCAAGTTGAGTGGTGATGGCAGTTTTTGGATCTCGGGCCTTAGAGCCCAAAACGCGCTAGTGATTTTGAATTAAAGCATTGGAACCCAATCGCCCAGCTACTTACTTGTTTTGAACCATAAGTGATGTAAACTAATTTCTTCTAAATATTAGCTTCCCGCAGAGATTTCGGACACAGAATACGAGGAAATAAACTGCGCACTCACTGTTACTTTCTATAATGTTCGAGTACATTTTGCATCAAATAAACTACTTTTGTCAATTTCAGTTTTTACATCCCCTAACCATACACTTTCGTGGCCGGCTTTTGTTACTGCTTTTTAACCGCCCATTTGCATAAAACAGCTGAAGGAAGAATGGAATTTTGAGATCAGATTCAGACAGAAAACAGAATTCATATCAGTTGATTTAAGCATGATTGGATTTGCAGCTGTGAGGATCCATCCTGTATAGCTCGCAGGGTCATGGAGACACGCAAGCCATCACACCACGTCAAGTTGCAGTCTTGTCGTGATGGACCTTTGCTAGTTGGTGAAACACGATTCCTTCCATCTTTGAATCTGATAGAAAAGTTGCCGTCAAAATGCCTGTGCACATGATGTCTCACTTCTTCGATCCGCTTTATATCGAAAGCATCTGACGTTGTTTCATTGAAAGGGGTAAAGTGCTGTTTATTTCCTAGGTTCACCGGATGGCTGTTGTACTTCACTGTATTATCTTTGATATTACGCGGATGAACTGTGAAAATAATTTATTTGCTCATCAAGAACTTCATTGTCGCGTGACCCTAGAACCTCTCGATTCTATTTTGACCTAATCTAATTAGCCATTTCCTTTCTGAGGGTCTTAGGCGGTTAAGTTTCACTTCGGGATAACGTTTCTTTGTGACTTCGGATTTTATTCACTAACTACTTATCAACTGGTGGATCCCCTATGCCTCTTTAAGTTGTATAGGTAATCCTAATGCGAAAAGGTCACTGCTATTGATGTGGCCTTGTAGCTCAGCTGGCAGAGGGTGCGCTGTACAAAAGGGTGGTGACGTCCTTGCGAGGCTGCTGAACTTTTCACAGTTCAGAACAATAATTTAATGTGCCGAATAACACGAATTGTACTTTACTCTTCTTTTCATGGTGTAACGTAAATTTGAAACAAAACAACGTTTATCTGTTTACTTTCTAACGTTTCCTGTTTCTTCCTGGGATTTTCCGCTCGCCCACATTCTGCGCCTCAGGCTGAGGAGTTGAACAATATTGTCGGTGAAGCGTTTCGTGTTGCCTATGCGCAACAGCGACTGGCTATGCTTAGCGAGCAAATGAGAAAAGCTGCCTTATCACCTTCGAAAACAAGTGCAGTGACATGCAATGCTCCACAAGGTGAAAAGTTCACATCCTCTCGAACGGCTGCCGCTAGTCAAGAAGCCGTGACCCCGGTGATGCAGTCGGCTGAGCTTACAAACGGCTCAGATGCTAACGTGACTAGAGCCAAACATTCCAGGTTGGTCTCTTATTTCCTATTTTCATGGATACTGAAATATTTATTGTTGCTGTTCTATTACAAGCAATTTATACTTATGTATGTTACGGTAAGTTGATGTTCTTGTTTTTGGTTAGGAATACTTAATTTTTACATGCATGCGACTATTTCTCGCGTCTAATAAAGTCACTTTATTCGGATATCTTGGATCATTGCTACCCACGCTTTTCGATTTGCGGCGTTGGGACAGAATTTCTGTTTCATTCCGATTGGTCGTTGATATTTCGGACCTCTGCTCTACGTTCTCCTCGACTCTGTTATCTGAAGTCCCAAGTGGCATTGCAAACCGGAAAGTGCTTTTGGTAGAAGACCTTGTTTTATAGTAGTGTTCCCCGGGTTTTGGAGAATATGACCGAATCGTTGAAGGTTTACGTGAGCCAGTCTCCTGGTTACGGTTTTCATACCCTCGTGCCAGGTCTGAGTTTGAGCACCCTTAAATTATGTCCATCTAGCACTTGCCTCGGAAAACAACGTCCGCCGTGGGAATCTATTTAGTGACATGCACAGTTTATGCTCCAACCAACGCAGTCTATGAAGGTCGACCACTGCCTACTCCAGTGGATGACCTAACGTCAGTTCAGTTTTTACAACCATTAACCGTGCATTCTCATGCACCGGTTTTGGTTGCTGTCTTTTGGTTTTCAATTTGGCTAGGAGAGAAGAGCGCGTAACCTCAGCATTGTTATGCCGGTTTCCCTACGAAACTCGTGCAATACGACGTAGACGGTGTTCGATCAATGACAATCTACTTATCTCTTGTTTCCATGATGGTGAAGTCTCTGCACTGGAGAGCAAGACTGGTCCAACTGCTGCAGCATTTACTCGACCAGTCATGAGGCGTCTGCTCATCTTTGACGCCTAGCGCTAGTGTCAATTTTTATCGTATCTCATATTCTTTTCTCTGTAACGCTCGTTCAGCCTCTCGTTTAATCGTTCTCCTTTCCTTCAATCGCTTTGGTGGGTAGTCGAGTAACAGCAACTAAGGTGGAACGACGGAAGCATCGGGCTAACAAACCGAGTAGTTACGTCCTCTCAAAGCAAATCTTTGGGTATTATGATTACCACTGAATGTTTAGAATCCTCCCTACATCATCCGATAAGTCCAAGTACTACATGATATCACAATCCCAATGACATGCTTTAAGATGTCGCTTATATGGGTAGAACCCCAGGCTACTACCAATCATCAGCCAATGGAACTGTGCACAACCGAATAGGTCTTCAGGTATTGAATAGGAAAATGGACACCTAAGTCATCATCATCATCATTATCGTACAGCGA